CTGTTGGTGGGCCAAATCAAATGGCTTGGTGGGCCAAATTTGGCCTGCGGGCCCCACTTTGGGCTCCTCTGCCCTGAAGTCATATTTGTGTGTCGTCTATCTTTGAATGGGGTTGATTCCATGAGTTAATCAGTTGTAAATGTTTAGTCACCAATTACTTTCTGAAAGTTTCATTAAACCTGTTCACTAGTTTGAAAAAATATTTTGCCAACACTAGGATTTGGGAAAATCACATCCTGTGCAATTAATAGTCAGAAAAACTGTAACTGATTATTTTTTGGCACTTGACAATTAATACAAAAAAATGCCACCAGGCAGACTGACTGGTCCCTGGTCGATTCGCTCGTTGCTCCTCTCCGCTTTGTATATGACAAACATCTTTAATTTTTTTTGTCATAACTGTAGAATAATTGGTCTAGCAAAACAATTTTAGAACTTCTGTAAAGCTTGAAGTCTGTACTTTTGACACAATTTGAAACACATTTTTACYGAGAGCCAATATTTCCRACTAGAGGGATTTAAATTGCTCAGGTGACTATGGCATGCAGGCGTCCAGGGACTCCAGGGGCTTAATTGTCATGTTAATTGTTATTGGCAAAATACCACAATTAATCATGATTGTTTTTGCCAATATTGCTCAACCTTAGCCAACACTATACAGTAGATAAATATGTACAGACATGATGAGCAAAAACATAATTTCCCAGCCCAGTGGCAAAAGCTAAATAAAATAAGGTGTTGATGTTATTTAATACAGAAAATGAGGCCAACTAAATTGTACACTGAAAAATGTATAAAAGTGCTTGACTTTATTTTCTAATAGGAGCAGTTTGATGTATTGATGGTATCTTAAAAACAGCATTCGTTTGTTTTTCTAATTAATTTTTTTATTGCTTTTTACAATTTTTAGCTTCAACTTAGGATGACCGATTCTTCACTTCTCAACTCTGACCTGGAATTACAGCACCAAGAAGAGATATATCAGCAACTWCTTTTACAGGTAATTTTGCTCTCATTTTTTAATTTTATTTAAAACAACTTGAAATTTAAAATGTGTATTATTAATAATAGTGAAAAACATAGAAACTGAAAACCATTGAATGAGTCAGTCATTCCTTATGAATATTAGTTCAATGAAATTATATAAAAAAGATAAATACATAAATAAATAAAAAAGCTAATGAAACCTGCCATGACAAAATAGATGGTTCCCCAGAAAAGATTGAAAATAATTTGGCCATAGGGACAGGATTAGGATTAGGACTGGGCGGTATGACCTCAAATTCATATCATAGTATAAATTGAATCCCTTCACGGTAACGCAGAGGCGATTTCTCTAAGACTGCAAGGGAAGCTCAGCTTCCCCTAAAATGTAAAAAAAAAAAGATCAAATATATACTGTTGTGTGTAACATGTGATTGACTAAATATGTGCTACAATGTGCTCAACTTTTGTTCAGAATGAGCTTCTTATCACTGGTAACGACGCGGCTTTCCTCATTTCACTCATTCCCGCAGCTTTACAGTGCTTAAACAGTCGGACGCTGAGCGTCTACAGAGCTCATTAGCCGTGCAGAGACTGCAGCCAAATGAGACGAGTCATTGGATAAATGCTGGCTTTGTCCCGCCCATCGGACGCTGWGTGTCTCTGGATGGATTTATGACGGAACGAAATCCACGCCTTTTTTTCTCATTTCTGTGGGTAACGATACATTAAAAACATTATTTTTCTCCGACAACTTGGGTGTGAAAAAACTACAGTTGTTAAAGCTTCGCTCTGCATGWCATGCAGCGGGYGGTGGGGGGATAATCCCGACGTAACCTTTCTACAGCGGGAGGAGGACATTTTGAGGATTTATTCTCTATACYTGTTTTAAAATGCTATAATTTCTTCATTATATTTCAAACTCCTGCTCAGTTGTCTCTYCACRCGCAGCCCTGTTGACACAGGTGCGATGATGTAAATGACGATAGGCCGGTAGAGGGTAAATTTCTACCATAGGCCAACTTCATACTGTTTCTACCGTCTACTACATAAATCGCGCCCTAGACAGGCTGCACTTTAGTTTAACATGTCCCTATGGCCAAAAAGCATCACATGTTGTACCAGTTATGCTGTGCTCACAGCAAATGCGTTTTGAGTGTCAGGGGTGCCAGGTTTACATGAAAAGTCTATGGCGGACGTGCGTCAAGGGGCATCGGGAAGTGCTTTGATGCAACTAGAGAATCTAGCGCGTCACGTTTTGAAGAGTTAGGTGCACGTCGAATGCTGGAGTTGGAAAATCTGAACTTTTGCAGCTTGGCGCAGAGCATCAACCAATCAGAGAGACTCCACTATTATGCTACGTTCACACCAAACGCGTTGCGCMCCTCCAAAGATCTCAAAACGCACGCATCTTGATGCTGGTGTCCAGTGAGGACAGGTGCATTTGATGTTAACGTAGATGCGCTTCTTTAGACGCTCGAGGGGAGGAGCCTTTTTAACCGTAGTTTCGACAACTTACCAAACATGCCGACTTCCTCACTAATKGTCCTCCAGGTGAAGTCCTTTTTATTTCAATCACGATAATGGACACTGGAATGATCATAAATGATTGGACTATCAGTTTTTCCTCCATTGTTTGTGTGATCCGATTTCCCGGGCTTCCTGTATTTCCGGCTCGTCACCAGTGCGTCACTGAGCAGAGTCCCTCTGATTGGTTGATGCGACACGTCAAGCAGSAAAAGTTCAGATTTTCCAACCCACGCGTCAGACGCTTGACGTGCCGCACGCATGGAAAATGTTCATGACATGTGCACTGCTTCYAATCGCGCTACTCCAAATGCGCCAGARGTGCTGRTCAGCTTCTAGACGCCCCTTGATGTGTATCCACCATTGACTTTGCATGTAAACCAGATGCTCCTGATGCTCAAAATGCGTTTGGTGTAAATGTACCATCAGGGATGTCCCGATCCAGATTTTTTGCTCCCGATACAATCCAATTTTTTTAATGATTAATCTTTCCGATACCYAGCCGATAGCTTTATTTCTTTATTTCTTTCCAAGAGACAAGGCTGGTAGTATTAAAGCGAGCCCTGCTGTTCCCACCACGAGAAACATCCAGTTTGCAGATTTTGCAAGATGCAGTTTCAGCATCATRYTTTTACATTGAAAAGTGTTCCCACACTGGGGACATGGTTGCATACTTGTGTGCGTCTTGACTTCTTAACGGCAGTTGTAAATCACGATGATGCTGAAAACTGTCYCAAAAACTGGATCGGCCCGATCACARGACTAAATCCGATTCTACCCAATTTTTTGGTCTGATCGGGACATCTCTATCCACTATGTGACATTGCGGTGCATTTTCCGATGAGACAGTTTCCTGAATGATGCCCAGGGGCCTCATGTATCAACGGTGCGTACGCACAAAAATCTTGCGTACGCCATTTTCCACGCAAAACTCCGGATGTATCAAAACTCAACTGAATGCGGAAATGTGCACAGCCCCACGCCAACTCCAGGGCTGGCGTACGCACGTTTCTGTGGCTTTGGTTCCATTGGCGACACTTAGAGGTGATTCTGAGAAACTGTTCATGATGTAAAAATGATTATTGTTCACACCAGACACACATGATTAACAATTTTTACATCCACATGATTAACAATTATTACATCCACATGGACGCAGTTAAATAAAAGACGCGCAAAGTTGTGCCAAAAATAAATTTAACAGGAACAGATTCAGCCTTACTAGAGGATATAATAAATAGTGTAACACACAGAGCTTTTATTTATAAACAGATTTTTCTGATGACGAGTGGCTCATCAGCCGTTTTGAGGAAAAATCATTTTTAGTTTGGCACTGCTGCGCTCTGGGAGCGTGACGCAGCGAGTAGCCACGTGTGCCACGCGTGCACGTGCAGCAGCAGCGATTGAACTGGGGTTCCACAGGAGCTTTCCAGAGGGAGCTGGCAGACCCATCTGGACCGTGTCAGTCCAGTCCACCCAAAGCTGAGTCATGACCAACAGAACGGTCTCATTCATTTGATTCTAAAGGCTGAGTTATGTGAGTTACCCTCGCCAGCAGTGGAGGTGTTTCATACGTTGCGTTTATGTTGTAGATTTCTCCAAAATGACACGTGGAAGTACACTTTACAACTTGTGAAAATGCTGTAAGTAGGAGAGCAAAAGCTGGACAGACAAACAGACTGCGCACAAAGGCTGCAGCGTTTGTGGAGACTCCAACATCACGTCATGAAAACTCTACTGAGACGCAGAGACTCGTTTCTTCATATCAGCTATGAAATAGACTAAGATCTATGTTCTACCAAACATTTAAGTTCCTCTGTGTTTACAGTAATTATGGTAATAAACTTGTGCGCAAAGTGATAAGCCGGTTTGTGCAACACACACACACCGACACACAATCACTCATTCTTTGCGTGATAAACATATTTTATTCCTATTTTTACTTAGGATTTTTTTCACACTCACTTTATATTAAATTCATTACATTTATGACATTAGAAATCATTTCTGATCGTGCAGGGATCACTCACACATGTCCTTCACACATGCAGGAAGTAATTAGCATCTGCTTAACATATGTTAATGAAGGCGTGTCAGGGGAGGTGTCTTACCTGCGCTCAGTTCCACGTTAATTGTGATGTACAAAAGCAATGTGCGTTGGTTCAGGCGTACGCACAGTTTGATACATCTGGATTTTTTTGTGCATACGCCGTTTTCTGGATTTGACCGTATGTAAGGTTTCAGTAAGAAATCCATGTAAGTCTTTGTACACGAGGTCCCAGATGGGCAGGAGGTCTTTAGCTGAAATTGAGTGCCTGTAGTCGATGTCCTGGCTGGAGATATTGGCACCGATGCGGGTCAGCGTCTCGTCAAACCGTACTGAAAGTGAGCCTCGTCAGCTCGCAGCTCCTGGAGATGTGAAACTCATCAAACTCAGAACTTCTCTGAATTATTTCATAAATTAATTATGGATTAATTATCTAGTGAGAGCGACGCACTCTCGCTCTCAGTAACTAAAGAGAAGCCACTTTCTTTATTCCATCCGCCATTAAACAGAGACTGGCAAAGGAGGAAAACAACCAAGAGGCTCTTGACGTTTCATGCGCGTCTAGCAGTTTTGATGAGCATCTGACATCAAACTTGAGGTGTTAAATGCATTTTTGATGCTCAAATCACTTTTGGTGTGAGCGCAACATTAGTCTGCCTATTTKAAGGTCAACACCCACCATTGCAGTCCCAAGTACCGGTTAATCACTTTAGTAGAATGAACTCTGAAGGCTGATGACATCAAAAAAGTAATGAGCCAGAGTAGGGTTGGGCATAATCGTATCGTGTGCAATTAATCGTCAGAAAAACATTAATCGATTACTTTTTGGTACTTGACGTTTAATACGATCAATGCCAGCAGGCAGACTGACTGGAGATTACTCCGGTCTGTCCGCTCGGTGCTCTTTTCCACTTCAAATATGACGAACATTAAAAATAAATTTCTGTAATTTATTTATCTATCAACACAATTTAAAACATGATGTATAGCCTGAAATCTGTCATTTTCACACAGTTCGGAACATTTTTTTATAAACAGCAAATCTTTCCCACTAAATTGGTCATGTTACCAGGACATAAGGGTGTCCAGGGACTCCAGGGGATTAATCGTCAAATTAATTATCGGCTAAATAGCACCATTAATCGCGATTAATTTTTTTGCCAATATTGCCCAACCCTAAGCCAGAGACCGGAGAGTTTATTCCTGATGGAGGAGTATGCAGTGACGACAATTTAAAGTTCAAATGATTTAGTGGATGTCTTCAATGGTTTATCTACAAGCCATGAAGATCAAAGTAGAACTGATYGAGTAAGGTTCATCACTTTTGGAGCGGCTATGACACTTAAAAGACACTTGCAGTTTATCTTTTTTTCCATTTTTGTTCAAACTTCTTACACTTCTGGCAGAACAAGAAATTTCATTTAACCAAGGTTCAGACTTTGATTTTGGTTCAACTYTCTTGAGGGGAGCAACATCATCAAGAARATTTTTGCATTTACGATAAAAGATGGAAGTAATCTCATCAGTATTAAAACCAGCATTAAAATCAGTATCAAAACCAGTAATAAAACCAGGGCAACACTCTAAAACCTCGTTAAAAACAACAMAAAACTGTTCAGRTGCAGAGGRCTTAAAAARATGATGACATGCCTGAATCAAAGGTTTAAAATCACAGCCTGGCAAATAGGTTTCAAAAAGCATAGGACAGTGATCAGAAAACACGTTGTCACATGTTAAAAACCGGTAAACCAAAAGATGACACAAGGTCCAGAGTGTGGTCGTGTTTTTGGTTGGACCTGACACAGACTGAACAAGATGAAATGATTCTAAAAGGTGTAAAAAGTCTTTGACCAATGGCTTTGTAAGAAAATTCATATTCAATAAACTGAAGTCGGTATTATAAACACAATTGTTAAATAAAATGATTTGTAGGAGGAATGAAAACCATACAACACCAGAACTCTGGAATCGAGTGGGTTTTATTACTGCGCCTGCAGACAGGAAACCCACACTCCTGAAGAACCAGGAAGTCCATCTATTTATACAGGTTCTTCAATGCCTTCGCTCGCCCCCTGCTGACCTATGGCTGAGTCACAGGCATTCAGACAAAATTCTCATCTAATGTTATTCCAACGTTTAATTATGTTTTGTAACAGATGTTTCGGACATGTAACTAATCTATTATGTTTTGATTGAAATAGGTATAAACACTGTCAACATTACAACAAGGAGAACTTAAGAATATAGCGTTGTGCTTTTAACATCAGTACTATTCTTCCTAACTTTAAATTTCTTCAGCTTAGTGGGACAGCACACGTGAAAATTAAAATCCCCAATGATTAAAGCATGCTCACATTTGGCCATGATTCAAGCCAAAAAGTCAGAGAATACCTTATTAAAGTCCTTGTTATATTTGGGAGGATCTAGTCTACAGAAGTTCAGATTCTGTTGACACATTAATACCGAATGCCTAACCCGCAAAGCTTACCGTTTCCTCACAACTTTCCATGTCCACACCTTAATTGCAGGTTTGTCCCCACGGCTGATCTGTCCAGTTTCCAGGTCCAGTTTGTGGTGCAATATAAAACTGTCTGTCTCACCCTGATCGGAATCCTATTTGATGTCATTGACCATATATGGAAGTCTGTTTTTTACTAATCACTTACTTGAAAACTCACAAATTCCTTTTTAAAACAATTTTGTTACTTTCAACATTTGCCATTGAACATAGGTGTTTATTTTTTTGTCTTTATCATATTTTGCTGTATATGCAAAAAAAAAAWTTACTCTAAGCTTCTGCTGTCAGTGTTAGATTTTGCCCTCATATTTAAAGAATTAAATATGATGCCATACAGATAATTATTGATMCTATAAATCATATTCATTATATCATTTATACATAATTATAGGCATTTTCAAAATTGGTTAAGTTTTATTATTACAAGTCATCTTAAAACCCCACACTAGTTGTTTCAGTGGTACATCAAACTTAAAAAAAATGTATGTTCTTAAATGCTTTTATAACTACAAGGTCAAAACTGGACAGCAGAACCAGTCAATTAATTAATCAGTTTTTCTACTGGAAAAGCTAAACTAGCCACTGAATTCTAGTAGTTTTGTAAATAATGCATATATGTTCTGTAAGAACATTTGCAAATGGTTTTCACAAGTGTAAAGCATACAATATTTGTTCTAATAAATGTCTTTTAGCGTTTTATTTACACAAAATATGTGCTGTTTATCTTCAATAACCAGAAGAAATATTTGGCCTTTTTTTAGACAATGGGGAAGCTGCAAACTGAAACTCCAGACTCCAAAGTAATCCGACCTCAACCTGGTAAGTTTCTCTGCAATAAGTGGTGGAGCCATTTTTATAAAAGGTTACTATTAATTGGTTCTAAAGTTTTTCTTATGGGTACATAAATATACGTTCTAGTCTTTACCAGGTTTTAAATTTAGGTAAATAATACTATAGATGCCAAGTAAGATTGTCATTTATTTCAGTGATGCTGCATACACACCAAACACAATTATAGCCTCTGGAGCACGTGCAAAGTCTATGATTGACGCGCGTCAAGCAGCGTCGGGAAGTGCTGCGATGCGTCTTAACACGATTACAGCGGCATGTTTGACATCACGCATCAAGCACGTCAAACACTGGAGTTGAAAAATCCAAACTTTTGTAGCTCGACGAGGCACGTCAACCAATCAGAGACTCCACTGTGTGGCGTAGTGACAAATTTTCTGACCAGTTTCCTGAATGATATCCACCAACCTGAGACAGATGGACAGGAGCTCTTTAGCTGAAACTGAGTGCCTGTAGTCGGTGTCCTGGCAGGAAATTTGGGCACRGACGCTGGTCAGCGGCTCATCAAACTGGACTCGGGACAAAAATAGTTCTAAAAGCTAGCCTCGTTAGCTTGTAGCTCCTGGGTGATGAAACTAACCAAACTCAGAACGTCTCTGAATTATCTGGTGAATTAATTATCTGATGAGTACAACTTTCTCATGCTCTCAGTGAATAAAGCAAAGTCGCATCCTTTATTTCAGGGGTTCTTAACCTTTTTGACCTCGGGGCCCAATTTGTTGAACATAAAGTGACACGAGGCCCAGTCACACATTACCAATGTATGGATCAAAATGATAATTATTCTAAATCTTGGTTTAATTTGTATTGTATTTGCATTATAACCTAATTAAATACACTTAAATTTTAAAAGAAAAAAATACTGTCAAATAATCAGAAGACATGATTATGACAAACATTTTTTTATTGTGTAAGCTGCCCATGACAACTATTTGAACAAAATACAGTCAACAGCCATTCAACAGACCACTCAGGCTTATCAACACAAAAATAGATGTTTTATATAAACATAACAAAAACAGACAATTCAATAAATAAAACTGTGGTCATAAAATAAATAAATTCAAAATGTTAAATGTAAGTG